GGTATAACGAACATGCACGTGTGCTTGGGAGCAAGGTGTTGGAAAGGAGGATTCACACTGAGGTTCCTGGGTTTGTGCCGGTTGAAGATGCCCGAAAGATTGATTAAAGACTATTAAAGTGTGAGTTAGAAGAGGGTGACAGGCTTGTTTTGCTCTAGTATATGTATATAAATATAATTTTTCTCCCTTCCTTTTAGCTTCCCTTACTGTTTGTTAGTGTTTGGAGAGAATGGGAGGGAGAGCCTCAAAAGTAAATGCAGGTATTTCCTTCTTTGAGGAGTTTTCTTACATGCAGTATCCTTGCTTAAGATGATACCATTCTGACTGAGAAGAGCTGCTGGGAGGTGGCTTAGCAGGAGGTGTATGTGTCTGGGGAATAAATTGCATTGATGCCAAAGGCCTCTGTGAGGCAGTAAGAGTATAAATAACTCATTTTTTCTGTCTGCTGTTTCCACTTTCAGCCCTCTGATAGATAAATGTTACAGAAATGATGAGTACTATGCAGTTCTTGCTTGTACTGTCACTGGAGAAATTAACACACTTTAAAACCAGGTTTTCATTACTGTTCTTTTCACTTCCAGTTACACCAGAACCCATTTCCACCACTGTTACTGTACGTACCACTGTATACACCTCTGCAGCTGACTTCAAAGGTTCGGAAGTCAAATGCAAGCTTGATAAGTAAATGTTCCACCTTTTATTTCCTGTTTTCAAACACAGAGACTGCAGACTCCCTCTGTAAAGGAGGAGCTACATGCAATGTGTCTCACGTCTTGGGGTTTTAAACGGTTGCACAGAATTTCCAGTCTGTGCAGTGTATTTTTAATTCATAGTGATGCTTAATGTAGATATGAATCTTTTAATCTCATGGGGCTGGGATAAATGATATATTACATTCCAGTTTTATGAACTGGGAATTCTGACACTATTTTCTGTGTATCAACAGCCATGAAACACTCTACATATCACTAGCCTTTATCTCTGGTGTCCTGGTGACTGTTCTGGTTTTTGCAGTCATCCACCTCTTCAGAAAAAGTAAGTGACACAGCAGAGGAAATGACAGCAGCGTGATGATCCAGACCTGGTGGCAGAGGAGCGCTTAGTAGCTTGTGCTACACATCTCAACACAGATGGTGTGAAGTTTCTACACTCTTTGGGCAGCATCTTGCAGCTTCAGGGTTTCAAAGTAACTTCTAGGAAGGTTACTTTGAAAGAGGCTCAAATTATGTCTTCCTTGAATAATTAATGTAGTAGTGAACTGGTCATTCCTGGCAGTAACCTCCCGTGAATCATCCCAAGGGCTCTTTACATGGAAGAATTAACTTTTGCACTGATGAGCTGTGGATATTTGGTGGTGGTTTTGGGGGCTGTGGGTTTTTAGGTTGGGTTTTATGTTCCTAACACTGGCCACACAGTGTGTTCTCACCACATCCATCAGTCACTTTTATGCCACTTTCAGCAGGCAGGGGTCAGGCTGCCAAACTTCACTTTGCAGTGAGAGTCTGTGATGGGTTTCACAAGCTATGTCTAAGCCACACATTCTGGAGCTGCTCTGTCACCCCACTCTAAAGCCTGTCTTGCACTCTGTCTGCAGCCACTGCAGACAGCTGAGGCTGGTGTCCTTCTCCCTAGAGTATAAGAGATCCCACCAAACCTTACAAGATCAAGTTCCCCTCCCAGCAGTGACTGAGGAATCTGCTAAGAACATCCAGGTAAAGGTCACAACTATTTCTAATGTTACATGTGAAGACTTCAGATTCTTGATAAATAAATATTAATTGGGAGAAGAGAAAAGGGGTTTGCTTTTGCAAGACTCGAATGTTAGTTGACAGTTCTTTTGACTAAGGAAAAGTTTTCTGTTGTGCATCCTGTTCAGCCAGTTTAAGAGTAGTCCAGGGAGTTCCTTGAGGAGGTGCCTGGACAGTAAGAGGAAAGATACTCCTCTGTTATCACAGGGCTCAAATGCCATTCTCCCTACATATTTCAAGTATCTGGGGCTTAACTAAATCACTACCTGGGCAGATCATAGAATCATAGAATAGCTTGAGTTGAAAAGGACTTTGAGATCATCCAGTTCCAACCCCCCTGCCATGGGCAGGGATGCCTCACACTAGACCATGTTACCCAGGGCCATGTCCAACCAACCAGGTCAGGGGGAAATCTTTTCAAAGGCAAGTATTTCTGCAGTTTTCTTCCATGCTAATGATTTTTTGGGAGCCCATAATGCAGAGCTGACCAGGATGCTGAGCTAGACTAACTGGTCTTATCCGGCATATGTAGGGACAGACTGACTGCTAGTGGTGTGTCGCATTGAGGACAAATTAAAAGCAGGAAATCCATACCGAGATGCTTGCACACTCTCTAATGTCTGTGGCTTCTTTCACATCCCCAGAGTGAGGTTGCCTATGCCTCTGTGGTCTTCCAGCAGAGTGGGGCACCAGCAGCTGTGTGATGATGGAGCTTCTACTGAAATGAAGACACCTGCACTTTCTGAACATCAGATGCTGCCAGAACATTCTATCAAGGCCTATACTGCTCTGGGAAATACCAGCACTGCCATATGTCTAACATCAGCTCATTTTATAGTTACCAGGGGAAACTAATGTCTCCTATTCCAAACTTCTTTGTGGTTGTGGACAAATTGCTTTTTATACCCTATTTCCCAATCTGTAGAAATCTCACTGCACTTGTAAAGTTCCCATTTATGTCTTTCCTGTTGCTTCGAATGACCAAAAAGGTTTGAAAATGGAAACGTTACTCTGTGTCCATTCATGTCTGTGCCCTTTTCTGTCACCAACTACGTTTTCCTTGGCTTTTAATTGCCAAGTGAGTTATTTTCTGCTTCCTGAAGCTGTGATAACAAAATGTTTGTATGCAAATATCTGTTTCCCCGTTGGCTCATGTAAAAAGAAATGCACCCAGTGTGACAGTCCATTTCTGAAAATGTTAATTCATGCGTTATTATTACCCAGTGTTCTAAATATACTGTAGAAAGTGAAAATTCCCCTTTCATAAACTGGGGAACAAGTTGACACTAGTGACTCAATCTTAGCAGGGCCACAGAGAAGCTTCTCTGCATGTTCCTATGTGCCTGCAGGTGGGAGGTTTGTTGTCTAAGTACAATGATCTCCATCAGTTGTTTAATACTTCTCCTGCAAGGCTGAAACAGAGCGAAGCTTCCTGCTGCCTCAGCCCTGTGCGCTTCAGACGCTGCCTTGTTTCTGGTCACCAGAGTGTCAGATTCTTGCCGTTATTCCTCTTTTCTGGAAGGGCTATTGTGAACCCCTCTCAAGGGGAATTTTTTGGCCAGGACAAGTGCTTTGGGTCCTACTGCCTCCTGTGAAGCAAGTCCAACATATGAGAAGCTTCAAACAAGTGAGGCCGCCTGATGGCAGCACGAAGCCGCAATGGGCAGATGGATTTCCCTCATCACTCGATTGGTGTCTTTCCAACAAGCAGTGAGAGCAGCTGCTCCACCTCTGCCCTGCTGGCCTTTGGGGCTGCAGAAGCTGGTGGAAGTGAAGGGGCCCATTGAAACACAGGTTCACAAGCACCGTCACATTCTGAACTGTGGTGTGAGAGGTGTGCTGACCATTCTACAGGACCAGGAGCAGGACTCTGAGCAAATGAGAAGTAAGATGGTCTGAAAATTTACCAGGCTTGCACTAATGTTTCTTCACCACAGCAAGAGGAATGCTCTTTTCCGGTGTTAGATACTGTTAGATTTTGTTAGAAGTGCAAGAAAAGGTGACTTCCTATTGAGAGCAGTTAGCATGTTGGGTTTTTCAAGTAGATGTTTCCTCACCATGAATTGTACTGACACCACAACCATCTCATGTACTTTGTGACATGGCACCAACCACAGTGCAGCAATTTTGTGTGCCTACCTAGAGCCATTGGAGATGGAGGGTGACAGAGACTTCAGTTTGTTGTGTGGCTGCTAGCAAGCCCCAGGTTCGCTCCAGAGCATCCTTCTGCTAATCTCTTTCCCATGCCAAGAGCCTTGTCCAGTCATACACAACTTTTACCAGTAGCCATCAGGCAACTGTTTTATGGACGGATAGAGGAATTTGGGACATTGGCATCTGCTAATCAGAATAGAGGAGGGTTTGTGTGTCCTTTGTTTTGCTATTCAGGCTCAGATTTAGTCTAAATTGACATAGAAGACAAAGGGTGTAAGAATAGGCAGGACGTGCCTGGGTTCTGAGTTGCTGCATTACCAATAACAAAGAACATATTTATCCTATTTTTCAGTAGACCAAACTAATCCTTGTGCAACAAAAATCAAAACAACACTGGCAAAACTTCTGTTTGGTATCTTTTCTGTATTTTGAAACTATTTAATACAAAGACATATACAGACACATCTTTACATTCATCTTTAGCCTTCAGATCTGTAACAGGCTGCTACAAAGAGTGACTGTTCTTCAGGTTTACAGAGGAGTCTTGACGCAAATCACATTTAAATCAGGTGTTAGCAAAGCAGAATTGATTGTAGGAAACACGAGGATATGCTGTGCAGGAAGAATCCCCAAAATAGATGGGGTTTAGTAACGAGTTCTGACAATGTACATGTGATGGGTTTGGAACTGTTGATTCTATCCCTGGTCAGGCAGCTGGGGGAGGAGGGAAGAACTTAAAGATATTATTAGTTTATTTTCTGACAGTCATCTCCTGTCATGTCCCCAGCACTGAGGAGCAGCTCGGTGTGTTCAGCACTTTGGCTCTTGCCTGGTGCTCTGTCTGAGTTAGTTTTGCAGGAGTCTGGGGTGAGCACTGTCTTGCTTTGGAAGCCATGGAAGTGTCCCACTGTTAGGATGTCCTGCAAAGCAGAGGTCCCCAGAATCAGTGCAGCATCTGGCCTTCCTGAGATGCTCAGCAGTGTGACTCACAGCAGCAGGGTTTTACCAGCTGGTGATGGATCCAAGCTGGGGCACTCGGAGCAAAACATCTGCCTTGTTACCAGTTCTTTGGGTCCTCTGGAATACACAATGGAATCCTCTGGAGTACACAATGCAGAAGATCATAAATGGTTGCTTTGGGCTTAATGTCAAATGTGCATCAGGTTGGGTAAGAGGAGCTTGCCCTTATCATAAAGCAGTTTGTGCAAGAGTGGGAGTAGACAAAACAGAGCCCCCATTTCCCACCAGTTCCTTCACAAAGTGGTTGTCAATGGTCTGGTATATACTGGCAGGTCAACATTTCTTATGACTGCTCTTCTGGTGTTTGCTCTGTGTTTTTTTGCACAGAACTGGCTCTGGGTTTTTTGCACAGGATATAGGTCCTTAAAATTAAAAGGTACGTGTTCTTGAACTTCTTTATCTTGCAAGCATAGACAATGGGATTCATGGCAGAATTGGAATGGGATAACAGGATTCCCAAGTACATCAAAACCTCGGGGATCTGAGACTTGGGGAAAAAATAGGAAACACAGTTCATAATGCACAGGGGCAACCAGGATATTGCAAACAGGAAGAGAACAAGTGCTAGAGATTTGGCTGTCTTGAACTCCCGTCCATAAAACCCTCCTGTCCCTCTGGTGTTGGTTGAACCTTGCCTCAGCTTCATCCGGATGATGTAGAAGATTTCAATGTACAGAGCGCACATGATGAGCAGAGGCACAAGGGTCCATGTGAAGAAGATAAGATACACCATGTAATCCATCCTCATCACAGAGAGAAACTGACACCTGAGAAACTCCGAGGTGCTTGCTGCTGCCTTGTTCCACCCAAACATGGGGACTAATCCCACGAGCAGGGACAGAAACCAGCACAAACCCAGTGCCCACCAAACTCTTCTCTCTGTAGTGATTATTTTATATCTGTGGGGGAAGAAAACCCAGGTTTGCATTAAACAGAAGTAGTGAAAATGGCTGAGGATGGTTTCAAGAACTTGCATGTTCAAATATTACAGGTTCATGGTCACAAAATGAAGCGCTAACCCAAATCTTATTCTGAGACAAGCTTAACTCTCCATTTGCACCAGTAGCTTTGCAGCACCCTTAAGAAGAACTAGGCTCAACTTCTCCTCTTTATAATTGGATGATTTCAGCTATTTCTGGTTTCATTCTGATCCTAATGCCCCTTTTGCCTCAATGTTGCCATTATTAGCAGTTCTGTCTTATTTCTCAGCTTCCTTGGGTGTCCATTGCTCTTTACATTTGGTTTACGCCATTTGTAGGACCAAACTGTTCTTTCATCTTTCAGTTTTATAGGTCCTTTCCCCATTGCTGCTACCTTCATGCTTGATGTTATGCTTTGCATTTTTAGCTCACGTGCTTTCCCATTCAAACATGCAAAGTGGATGGCTTCTTAAATCAGCTCTTCAGTCTGTTCTTTTGTATTGTCAGCAAACAGTGAAAGGGATTTTATGTAGAAGACTCAGAAACCCAGTGAAATCTTCAGCACTCTCAGCATTAACAAAAGAGCTGAAGAATTCAACTGCTCAGCCACAGACTCATCATGTGTGGCCAAATTCAGACCAGCACTAACAGCGAGATCTCAGCCCTGTACAAGCATCCCCAGGGTCTGTCAGTGCTGTATTATTAACTGCAAGGAGTGGTTCCTGCTCTAGAAAGTTCATCTCAGGTTGGGCTTTTAGGAACAAGTCTTCATGCCCAAGCACACATTTCTAGGGCAAATATTTGGCATTTTGGGGTAAATATTTGGCATTTAGTGTAAATACTTGTTAGAAAAGTGACAAGTTAAGGAGGAGAGGGGCGGTGGCAGCCCTGGGGCAGAGGCTGGGGGTTGGAAAGCTGGCAGGAGCATCAGTGGAGGGGCCCATGGTGGTCCAGCACTCACCTGGTTGGTAGCTTCACCCGCAGGTACCTGTCGATGGCAATGGCCAGGAGGGAGAGGATGGATGCGTTACTGAAAACCACCATCAGGCAGCACATGGCCAGGCAGGTGTAGAAGTGGGCGCTGATGCCCAGGCTCACCACGATGGCCAGGGGCATGACGAGGATCCCCATCGCGATATCAGCCAGCGCCAGGGAAATGATGAAGTGCAGAGTCATGTTCTGAGACATTGAGTTCATCCTCACCACCCAGATGACCAAGGTGTTTCCCAAAGTGGCCAAGACAGCAACCAAGCACTCTGTACCAATGTAAATCCCATGCAGGCTGTTCAGCTCCTGGCTGGTGTTGAGCATGGTGAGTTGTTGATGCTCCAGCCTGGGTTGAGCTATAGAATCACAGATTAGTCTGGGTTGGAAGGAGCCTTAGAGATTATATTGTTCCGTCTAGGAACACCTTCCACTAGAGCAGGTTGCTCCAAGCCCCTGTGTCCAACCTGGCCTTGAACACCACCAGGGATGGGGCAGCAATGACTGTGTGTAGGATGCGTCCTTGGTTTCTGGTGCTCAGTTGTTCCAGTGACTCACCAGTGTGCAAACCCCTTCCACTATTTCATATCCTTGGTACTTGGGCAGCAAATCAGCCGTTGCCTTTCTTCACAGCTGCAAATACCTTAGCATCCAGGGAATGTTCCCTTCTCTGGACCCATCTGAAGCTCAGAGCATCCCTCCAGCACCCTGGTATCAGTCCAGCACTTTGGAAAGTTAAAAAACCCCCAAACAATAAAGGAAGAGCTTCCACAAGCCTGCTTGCCAGCTGCCTATACCCAAACACTGTGCTTCCTCTTCCAAGTTGCAGTTTTAGAAATGGGAGAACTGTAACCAGAATTGTCTGTGCAAAGCTGGCACTTATCAATCTAGATAATCGCCCTGTGGTCACTATAGGAAATGAGGCAATGCAGGGGACGTTAGGAGGGGGGTTTGTTATATTCCAATGCTTGACATAATTCAGGGTTTACCACTTCAGTGAAGGCCTTGAGGTGGCTGGAAAATGCTTTTTAGTTGGAGCTTTCTCAATCTGACAAGAACACTCGCAATGTAGGTGACTTTTTCAGCCCTCATTTGTGCCTGAAATCAGCATGACAACCCACCGAGTCACGTTCAGAGCGGCACACTTTGCTGTGCTCTGTTTATGGAAGATGGAGAAACTGAGGAAAGGTGTGGGAAGTAGCAGGGAGAGGTTGTGAAAGCTGTGCTCCGCGTGCTGCGGGTGAGCAAATGCTCATTGATGTGGGTCTGCAGTGAAAGAGCTGCTCCCGTTTCAGATGAAACTGAGAAGAGATGCAAACATGAGCTCGGGTCAGCCTGCGAGTCGCAGGAGAACCTGGCTCTTGGGCAAATAGAAACACACCTGCTCCAAGGAGCGAATAATGAGTGAAGGATTAGGTGGATGGTGCTGTATCAGTGTAATGAAGCCTTAAGCAAATGTGGGTGGTATTTGGTTTCCTGGACACTGAGTTCTCCACCTCTTCCACCCAGTTTTCTGGCAAAACTGAGGATGAGGAAGTGATATCATCCCCAGGAGGAGATGGAGCCAGAAATACATGAAACTTCTTTATTCTCTGCTGTCAAAAGAGTTGGACAAATTCTGCTTTCCTGGAATCAATGCAAGTGCTTCTTGCTCCTGGCCTGGAGGGTGAGCTCTCCATAGACAGTCCCAGTCTGTGCTGGTTTTCTGATCAGAGCTGATGCAGGATTGACTGTAGGTGCAGGAGACAAATCCCAGCTCACAGCTGGGATGTAGGCAAGGCTTTTGTGAGCTGAAGGAGCTGCTCCTCGGGGAAGCACCTGGGCAAGGGTGGGCAGCCTGCACCGCACAGCTATGGGCATCCAGGGGAAATGACCTGGGTAAGATGCTCCCCACTTCCTGCCCTCACTGTGCGGCTCCTCTCAGGGCTTTTGGTTTCCTTTCTCTGTTGTCTTCTACTCCTGTGGCTGCTGCAAGATGCCTCTTGTAGAGACCACTACGTAGGGGCTTTGATAGGGCCTCTGCTGCCCTGTGCCTGCTGTGTGGGACCTTAGGGGAGCAGCTCGTGCAACAGTCAGAATGTTTCTCCTTCCATTTGCCCTTTGCTCCCCCAAAACCCAGCTGAATGCCTTTGTATTTGCCCTCCTCACCCCCTCCTTGTGGCAAGGGAACAGACAGGGTCACTCCAGGTCCTTTGGCCCTATTTTCTTTGATGCTACACCTTCACTGCACACTATAGATGGAGCAGGCTTCCAAGAAGCTTGGCGACAGAGCAATCTAACCACAATAGAGCTGTGCATTGGCTAACTCACCCTGCGAGGCTGCACAGGGAGGAGATTGTGCTTTTCAGGGCTAAAACTTAGCAGAATTACCACAAGCCCCTGTGGTTTGTTCAAGGTGCCACGAGATAACGTTGGCTCTTCTACAGAAGCTCACATAAACCTCAAGGGGACAGAAAAGATGTCACAGGGTTTGTAACCGGTCTGGTAGATGGATGCTCATGGATAAATTTGCTCATCTTGTGCAAAGTTCTGAAGGAGGAACCATTCAGAGCACATCAGGGAGGAGCTGGCTTCTGAGGCTGAAAATGAGAGTTCAGCACAGCATTGCTTCACTTGGGATGTAAACAGTCCAAAATGGCACTAGGCAGCCTGGATGTGATCTATATCACCATGGAGTCTGTCATCGGGATAGCTGCGGTGGTGGGCAATGCCTTGGTGATCTGGGCAGTGAAGCTGAACCCAGCCCTGCAGAAGACCACCTTCTTCTACATCGTTTCCCTGGCCCTCAGTGATATTGCCATGGGGATCCTTGTCATGCCGCTGGCTGTCATAGTGAGCCTTGGAGTTGTCACCCATTTCTACTCCTGCCTCTTCATGTGCTGCCTCATGATGATCTTCTCTCATGCCTCCATCCTGTCTCTCCTGGCCATTGCAGTCGACAGGTACCTGCGAGTGAAGCTGCCGACCAGGTGAGTCTGGGCCAAGGGCCCACCTCCATCTCTTCCCCATTTCTCTTCTCCCTTATGTTTTCCTTCTCCCTGCACTACAGGGATCCCCTGGGCATCATTGGTTCTCTGAGGGAAACTCACACAAAGGCAGAGGCTCCCAAATGTGGGCAATGGAGCCCCATCAGTGCCTAAGAATGCTCAGGTTCTGAGAGTCAGGGAGGGGATGCTCATACATGGGCGTGTGCTTGAAGTCTGAAGAAGGTAGTCTTTAGGTTTTCCCCTCGAGACAGCCTGATGCAGGTCAAAATGAACCAATCTTCCTGAGGAAAGGGTTTGACCCCTTTCCGTGGGTTCTCTTTAAAGGGGGTTGGTGACTGCTGGGAGGCTCCCCTGTAGTTCCAAATACACTTTAAATGCCAAGAGCTGCGAAGGACCGATTGCACAGAGCTGTGCTTAACTGGGATGAGGCCAACCAGAAACAAGTGCTTAAAAGCCCAGGTTCCTGGAGATGCAGTTCCCCTTTCTGAAGAACCCCATCTAACGTGGCTGATGCTTCCTGCCCACCCAGGTACAGGGCAGCCGTCACCAAGAAAAGGATCTGTGTGACCCTGGCACTCTGCTGGCTTGTGTCTGTGCTGGTGGGGCTGGTCCCCATGCTGGGATGGAACCGGCACACGGGCAGCTCCAGCCACATCGAGTGTCACTATCTGGCTGTGATGAGGATGGATTATGTGGTGTACTTCAGCTTCTTCGCCTGGATCCTCCTTCCCTTGCTCGTCATGTGTGCGCTCTACGCCGAGATTTTCTATATCATGTGGGTAAAACTGAGCCCCAGCTCAGCAAGTGGAGAAACAGCTTGTGGGAAGGAGCACGAAATGGCCAAGTATCTGGCCCTCATCCTCTTCTTGTTTGCAGCATCTTGGCTGCCTCTGGGCATCCTGAACTGCGTTTCCTACTTCTGCCCCTCCTGCAGCACCCCGCAGGCTCTGACGTACCTGAGCATCCTGCTGTCCCACTCCAACTCAGCCATGAACCCCATCGTCTATGCCCTCAAAATCCAGAAGTTCAAGGAAACGTATGCTTTCATTCTGAGGAATTACATCCTGCCCCAGAAGGCAGAGTCCGCTCTTCCTAGTGCACAGCAAACAGAGCAGGGAGCGAGCAGCATCTGAGCTCTCCAGGCTGGGTCAACTGATGGGAGCAACCAGAGAGTGTGGACATGGCACAGACACCGAGATGCTCCTCAGATCACGCACCCTGGAGCACTGGTTGTGTGTGTGTGTGTGTGTGTGTGTGTGTTCAGCTAATCGAGCATCAAGCAGTGCGATGCCAAGCCCACGTTCCCAGCAAACTCCACAGATAAAGAAGCTCCTCTGTGTTCCCAAGGCAAAAGATGGGAGAGGTTTGGAGTGGAGGTAAAGGGGGAAGTGTGGGACATGGGGGGAGATTGGCACTGCTCGTGCTCATGGGGGTTTTGCTTAGTTAATAAAACGCATCTCTGTGCATTGGTGGTGGTGTTGGTGAGGTTGCTTTCCCATGGGGGCACTGTATCTGTGTAAAAGATGCCCACAGAGCTGCTGGTCCTACCAGGGCACAGGCTGTTGGGTCTCTTTTTGTCCATCCTGTTTAGCAGTCATGGAGAAGGCAGATTTAGATCAGGTCTTAGGAAGAAGTTCTTCACCGGGAGGATGCTGAGGCCCTTGGGGTCCTCATCCCCACTGATGCAGCCAAGGGTGATGCCATCAAACGCAGCCGAGCTGCTCCTGCCCTGCCTGGGGCTGAATGGGGGTGTTTCCGTCCAGCACCCCCTGTTCCCACCGTGTTCCTGCAGGGAAGGCACAAGGTGCACTTGTTTTCCCTGCTTGCTTCCTCCGCCAGGCAGCATCTGTTTCCTGCCCTAAACACAACAGGACCGGGTTCCGGGGCTGCTGTGATTCCTCTGTCACCAGAGCCTGTGCCCTGCTGCTGACGGCCCTGGGACACCCCGGGCTGCTGCATCCCCCTCCTGTGGGCTCCCAGCCCTTCTCCCACTGCCACCTTCGGCCCCAGTGTCAATCAACACTGGCCTGGGAGGGGGTGTTATGGCTTGCAAAGCCATTGAACACTCCCTGCACACAGGAGCCAAATGGGATCAGGGAGCGTTTTGGTGTGGAAATCAGCTCTGCCCTCCCCTTCCCACTATTTATCTGCAGGCATCCAACCCCGAATCCCGACCGAAGGGCTCCCTCCTTTACTTCTCTAGCACGCTGCTCTCCCCTAAGCATGCCCAGGGCTCCTGCTGAGAGGCTTAAGGGAAACACATGGCTGAGCTCTGCACATCGGTGCTAACAATCCTCCACTTAGTGCTGCTGCTGGCTATACTGTGTGCATGTGTATACACAGGAATACAAGCTGCTGCAACAAGAGAATCCTCCTGCTAGTTTGTGTTGGAGCATTTGGATGCTTTTGCTGCCGCACACAGTGATTTGTTTCTTAACAACAGTTGTGATTTGAAGCCTTGTTCAGGCTGATGGAGCTGGCAGCAGGAGGGACCGTGAGGAAGAAGGATCAGGCTCAGCTGTATGCAGGTCCAGGATTCATTTTACCATCCCTCCATGGTATCAGGTGGGTATCAGCAAAGGCAGAGTCTCTTGGAGAGCCTGAAGGCTTTGGTGTAGATCAGGATTCAAAGGTGTGGGTTTAGATCTCGTTATTCAGTGGTGCCTGCAGAGCTGTGTGGAGAGGGCGGCTCGAGGAGGAGCTCCCATGCATCAGAGCCCAGGGATGCCGTACTTCCATGGGGTTAAACAGTGTTTCGGATCCTGGTCCCCAAGCACTTGATGGATTTGCCATTTAAAGGCTATAGTCAGCTTGTTTCTTGGATGGCTCCAGCGAAAGGCTTGCAGCCATTCCCCAAGGATCCTCCTACATCCTGGTGAGATAAGGATCAGGAAGGGAACGGGCTATCTGCAATCTCAGCTGCGCCTTTGAGCACCGATTCCCTTTTCACGTTGGGGGCGGAGGGGAGGAGAAAGGATTTTCCAGAAAAGAAGTATTTCAGGGACACAGGGATACAGGGAAGAAAACCACACAGCAGAGATCTCATGGGAGGCACAGCAGCAGCAGCAGCAGCTTTTGCTCTGCCTGAGCTGGACAATGCTTTCGGGCAGGCCCACGCACGGTGCCCGTGTGCCACAGCCGGGCCTCGGGCTGTGAGGCATTGATGTACTGTGCTCTCATTCCTCTTTCCTTCCTCTCCAGCAGCCTCTGCTCTTGGGCCAGCTCTGGAGAAGGGTTTGCTTCGGTTTGGGTTTTATTCTGGGACTTTAAGCTGTGACGTTTGCCCTAAAGGAAAGGGAAAGCAGCAGCTCCTGAACCAAGAGGTGGTGAGCGGCGAGCGCTCTCCTGGCACTTCCCTGCCTTGAAAGGAAGTGAAAGCAAAGCAGAGAGAGGATGTGGACGTGAAGCAGGGTCCCAGCTGGTTTAACAGAGAGTGACTGTGGGCTGGTGAATAATGAGCCCAAAGGCGAGGCTGGAGCCTGCTGCTGGTGACCAATGGCATGTCCCTGCTCTGTGCCTCAGTTTCCCCATCCATGGGAAGAGGAGGGTCTTGTCAGAGCACACTGCGAGCTGGGAAGGGCTGGGCAGGAGCAGCATCCTTTTGGATTCCCTGTGAAACTTCCCATTTGGGCATTGTGTCAGTTGCCCCCTTGGGCATGGAGGCACAGTGATGATAAAGAACCACTGTCACTGTCCAGCCATGGATGGGAATGCAGCAGTGTGGGAGCTCCAGGCTTTGCTCCCATTGATCCCATTCTTGGGAATGGTGCTTTCCACAGCAGTTCCTGGACACCCTCTCCCTGATGCCTTGCGCCTGGGCAGGGAGATGCTGCTCCAGAAGTGAAACCCGTCCTTAGCAACCAGCCAGATCCATTTGGGATGTTTTATGCTCCCTCCATGGGTTTGCTCAGCTGGGTGACATGGCTTTGGATGTGAAACCTCCCAAAACCTGGGATGAGGCTTTGTGTCTGCTCTTCTTGCTCAGCTCGTTGGGAGCCTGTGTAGGAGGGAGATGAGGCTGTCAAACCAGTGCGGCTCAGTGGGTTCGGCTGCAGCCTTGAGACAGCTCCAGCCCCTGGAACTCCAAGTACAGCCAAGGCAGGAATGCAGGGACAGGCTTGGATGAGTATGTTCATGTGCTGCAAAGTTAATACCATTTATAAGTGGAGGTTTTATGGTTCCCTTTGAGTGTGGCTGTGGAGCGGGTGAAGCCGCAGGCAGGGCAGAGAAGGCACAGGACCCCATTTGATGCTAAATCATGGGCACAGCACTGACCTTTCCCAGCCTGTGGGAGCAGTGATTCACCCCTGGTTATCCACCTCCTCCTGCCCAAGGCTGCTCACTGGGGCTTGCTCTGCAGGGACCACAGCACAGGTCACTGTGTACAAGGCAGATGTGGTGACACCGGGGGAACCACACTGAGGATGCTCCTTAGCAATCGCAGGTATCAGTCATTCCCGTTCTGCACCAAACCCCAGTGGGAAAACCCCACGTGTGGGCTGCAGGGTGAAGACTCCTGGTGAAGCATCAGAAGCCACCAAGCCCCAGCAGGGACAGCACTGAGGAGCTGCTGGTTTCCCACTGGTGTCGAACCAGCAGCGTGGCCGGAGGATCCCAGTTGGAGCCACAGAGGCACCTCCATGGCTCCCGGCCATCCCAGCAGGAAGGCTCCAAGCGCAGGGTCAGTGTGGAGGGGCTGGAGCTTTGAGCTGCCCCTTCACTCACTGCTGAGGGATGCAGGGCACCGAGCAGAGCACGGGAGCTGCTGGCGGGATGGGGATGGGGAGCCCTGGCTCCTCCCTGGGGACGTGCCCCGGCAGCAACACGTGGTGGTGACAGGAACCATGAGCCAGAACCTGTCAGGCTGGTACGTGGGACCTGACCACAACACCCAGCAAGACAAGAGATGCCAGGGGCTGATAGCGCTGCGGTTTCTGTAACGCTGCGAAGACAAGAGGGGGGGTTTCTGTTCCAAAGGTAACTCTAAGAACTGGCTCCTGTCACCCCACAAGCTCCGTGCACATTCTGCTGTATGAAATGGGGCAGCAGCTCCCGGCTGGTGTGAGGTCTCCTGGCTGATAAATACCCTCATTACCAGTGCTTGTTCCTTGAGGAACTCTGAGGATGCTGAGGTGCTGGCACAGGGTGCCCAGAGAATGGATGCTCTGCATCCGTCTGCCCCCCAGCTCGCTGCATGGAGCCAGCACCTCACACACAGACACGCTCATCCGTGCTGAAACAAGCAATTGTGCAGCACTAAGAGCCTGCTTCTGGTGGTGCTGAGTCCCAAGAGGGAGCTGCTGCAGCCCCGGGTGCTGCAATCTGTGCAGGCAGATCACGACAGTGTCCACTGGCTGACACAGGCAGCACAGGCTGGCCTGCTCCTGCCTGCCAGCCCATCTGCTCTGTTTCTCACATCCTATGCAACTGTTTTATCTTTGCTCATTTCTATGGCTCAACACTGGCTGGGGGATGAGCTATTTTCAAACGCATCTGCTGTTATTTATACAAACACTCGCGTTCCAAAGGGCAACAGAGGGAAGTGTTGAAAAGCAAAGCACCCCCAAATGCTTCTAGGATGTAACTGGGCTGCTTCTCTGCTGGCGATGCAGCCGGGCGCACTGCTCACTAGGGACAGACACGACGATGGCTCCCCTTTTGATGAGTTCACTGTTTGCCATCATCCCACGGGGGGAAACCTCATGAGGGTTGGAGGAACACGGACAGGACCTCCAGCCCTTCCTCAGGCACAGTTTCCATCATCTGAGTCATAAGTGGGGTGGAAATGACTCACGACCTGGTGAGGAGGCAACAGCTCATCTCAGAGGTGGATTCATGGTTGGATGTGCCCAAAAGGACCAAGGGCTGCTGTACTTGGGAGGGGAACATTCTCTTTACAAGCAGACACGTTTGTGGTCCCTCTTATCCAGTGCTTGCTTCACTGTTAACATAAAGCAACAGCCTTGCTGTAGGAAAATACCTACTCTGCTGAGCCAGAAGCATAGAGCCAGCGTTATTAGCTTGTGTTCAGGAAGCAATCAGAAAGCAAAGAATGCTATCACAAGGCAAAGTGTTATTGTAATCATAATTACAGCGGAGCAGCTACTATAAAGAGCTGAGAAACAGCTTCACCTGAAGCAGCTGTTTCAAGACAAGGTCCCGCTGCCACCTGAAAGCAGGAGTCAGAGACTGCTGGAGCAGCTTTGGGATGAGTAAGTCTGCTTTGGAGAGCAGAGCAGCACTGACTGGAAACACCCAGCTCTTCTCCAGGCACAGGTGAGCTCACTGTTAACTCACTGGTGCCTTTATAAACCCTGTCCTGCAGCCCCAGGCCTGCCCTGCCTGGCTGCTTGGGAGTGCTGCTGGTGTGGGGCTGGCCAAGGGTGGAAGGAGGGCTGCCATGGTGTGGTACCTGCTATGTGCGATGCTGCTGGTTACCAGGACTGCCCCTGGAAGGGACCAGGGAGAGACCAGGAACAGGTAATGAAGAAATCTCATAGATCCTGGAGGTTTCCAGTAGCTTGTAGACAAGTGGCTGGATTGCTCCTCTTACCTACTAGTTACACATCACCCCTGGCTGTGACACAGTCGGTGTGTGACCACGTTTAAACAAAGCGGGTGTTTAAACCCCGTGAACTTGCTGAATTAGATGTTTTCTGTTTCAGTACATACGCCATCTAATCTTGAGGCACTGTTTGCCTCACCTGCCTCCACAGAGCTTGTCAGATGCTGGTGTGCATTGAGTGATCCCTGGCAAGGACGTGGCACCCTCTGGAGCGCTGTGCCAGGGAGCTGCAGGGCTGGTGATGGGAGATGAGGCGCCTGCTCAGTGACCCCTGAATCTGTGCTACTGGCTGCGGGACTCAGTGATGTGGGTATGAACTCTGAACGTAATTAACTCATTATTCCTAATGACACCCTCCGATCTCATCTGCGAAGGGAAGTGTTGTTGTTGGCACTTCAAAAGCTCACATTGAGCTCTTTGAAACGAGCTTTTCCCCCTGATTCTTCCACAACTACAGTTTAAAAACCTGCTGTAAATTTAGAGAGGAGCATCTCCTTTCTTGTGCAGTTTAAGGTCAACCAGGACACAATCCTAGGGCCATAGAATGGTTAGGGTTGGAAAGGACCTTAAGACCATCTAGTTCCACCCCCGCTGCCATGGGCAGGGACACCTCACACTAAACCATGTCATTATGCAGTCAGCACCTTTACTTTTGACAGCTCGAGCAATACTAATGTGGTATTAGCCTGTACAGTGTCAAATACACTTCCACATAAATGTGTTGTTGATGTGTTACTGAGCTGGCTTCTGCTCTCTAGTCCTGTGATTCTATCAGCCAGGAATCCAAGCTCATTATGTGAATGCAAATTGTTTCTGGATATCATCAGATCAGCAATAGGCACTTGATGGATATTTACATCAGCTGCACTTGTGACAATTTATTCAATTGGGCAGGTTTCATTTTGGAGTCCAGAAAGGTCCTGAGGGATTATGATTCACTTCCATTTGCCTGCATAAGTCTCAGTGCAACCTCTGCATCTCAGCTGCAAAACCAGGCAGAGAACTGCAGTCCTACTGCAGGTGTTGGGGATGAGCGTCCTCCCTTCAGTTTTCACTGCTGCGATTACCAGGAAAAGCTGGAATGCTGGTACAATTTAATACCAATGGAATTTAGATTGGAGACTTCAGAAGAGACATTCCTGTGGCAACTTATGGTTTATCCAAAGTGAAGGGTTGTGATAAATGGCAGTATTTTGTATAAACCTGCCATGCTAAGGGCCACTGGATACCTTGGGCTGTGTCCAGCACGTACAGGTTGTGTCCTGTATGTGGCAGGATGCAGAGACTTCATTCTCTTTGCCTTATAACCTTGTGTTGCTGGGATGGTGTGGAGCAGTCATCCATGGTTTGGGGATGACAGCAGGTTTTACCCACTTCAAACAGGTTTCTGTGGTGACATCAGGGTAGATGTCCCTGGAATAATGGGATTTGATAGAAACTGGGAAAAGCACAGGGAGAGACAAGGTGTGGATGGAGGACTTAATGTCCCATTGACAGACTGAGCAATCCCCCATGGCACAAGAGATAAGGTGCAGCAGCACAGCAGTGACATGGGCTCCAGCAGTGTCCATCTGTCTGCAGGGCTGCATCCCTCCTGCTGAAGGAGCTGGGAGAAAGGAAGATCCAGATTCTTCCCTATTAAATTCAGTAAGAAAAGTCCCTCTGGTTACAGCTGAACTTGGACCCCTTTCTCCTCCCCATTTCACAACTAGGTTCACATTCGTCCAGATCTCATTTAATGTACTTGCGAAGTCTGACTCAGCAATGAAGTTATCAGCTCCCACCCAAACCTGCAGAAAACTGGAGGGGGAAAGTCAATCTTCCCAGAACTGACATCAAAGAGGTGCTTTGTTTCGCTGAGTCAGGCCCTGAGTGTGCCTGGACCCTCATTGTTTTTAAACCTGGATGGTCCACAAGCCATGAAATAGGTAAGTGTTTGAGTCATTGGGCACAATAAGATTCTCCAGTCAGTAGCTGGGTGGGAAAAGCTGCAGATGCATTGATATCTGGGGCAAAGGTTATAAAACCTTTAATTTTAAAGCAAGCCTTGGGTAAAGCCTTGCAGAGCACTCATATCTTCCCATGTATACTGAGCCTCTTCAAGGATGTAAGTCTCTTTGTGCTGCTTCGGTTCACAGGAATGAGATTCATTTTAGTGACTTTGTAGCTTGTAAATCACAAGTTACAGCTGATTGTTGTCTCTGTGTGTTTCCCAAATACAGCCTCATGTTCTTAACACAGAGCCAGGAGCTTCCTAGGGCCACAGATGTCACGATGATGCTTGTACTCAAAGGAAACCGATGATGCTTGTACTCAAAGGAAACAAGCTACTCAACCGCTGCTGTCAAGCATCCTTAAAGGCAGACGATCTTGCCCCACTGCAGGAGAGACTGAGCTCCGCTGCTGGGGCTGGCAAGCCTGAAACCCTGCAGAGAAAGAGAAGGTGGAAATCCCTCTGCTGAGCTTACCTGCCTCCAGCTATACAAACTGAGAAGCAGTGATTCACCCGTCTGCTCCCAGCACAGTGGTCCCCAGGGGAGGAGATGCCTTCTTGAGCCATAAAGAACAGGGATTTATGGATGAGCATCAGCAGCCACAAGCTGTGTGTGGGAGCAGAATTCTCTGTGCTGTGGATTTGTACTGCACGCACAGGCTGTGAGCAGAACTAAAGCAGGGTTTTCTCTCAATCAGGGACTCTGAGCTGTGTGTGTCTTCTGGCCACTGCCCCTTGGTTTGGGATAAGTCATTTAACCTTTGTCTTAGTTTCCTCCTCTCTAAAGCCAGATGAGGAATATTTAGCATCCCTGGGGATGGTGGCCGTGGTCCTCGCCCTGTCACTGCTTATTTAAAGAGGTGATGCTGCGCTTGCAAATACAAGCAGTCCCTTTGCATTTTAAGTGCCATTCATGGAGAGTTAGTCATTCAAATCATAGAAGCTATTACAGCTCCTCATGGGGTGCTTATGCGTTTTTAACCAGGGGGAAGAAAAGAAAGGCACTGAAATCTATGAACTGTTGACATTAGCTTTTCTTGAGGATGTATTTTATTAGTTACAGTTTCTTAGGGCTAAGGAAGCAACCTAACAGATCAGGACACCCTGTGCAGTGACTGCGGTGAACTCCTGACCTGAGCCTTCGTGCATGGCTGCTGGTACACGTGAGCCCTAAAGGGACACAGACCCAGCATCAGGACCTGTGTGCGGTGTTTCTGTGTTCCTCCAGGTTCTCACTGACCACGGGCACATCCCGCTCGGCTCTCACAGCTCTTTACTCCTCCCGCTCTGTGCCCAGTGGCCTCGTTGCGCCCCACGCACCGGAGCAGCATCACCCCCGTCCTGCACTCCCCTCGGTAAGGAACCGCTCTCGGTCCCGTTCTCTCCACGGCCCCTGCTCCCTTTGCTGTCACCCAGCGCTTGGGCCCTTTCCGTGCGCCCCTCCGCGGCCTCGCTGCCCGGCGGCCGCCCCGGAGAGGCCGAGGCCCAGCCGGGTGCCCCTCACCCTGGGCCCCGGCACCTGCTCGGCCCCGCCGCCGCCGCCGCGCACAACTTCCCGCGGGCCGCCCCGCGCCCGGCCCGGCCCTGCCCGCCCCGCTGGCTCCTCCCCAGGCCGCGGCCGGTGAGGGCGGAGCGGACGCGGCGCCGCCGCCGCGCAGAGCCCCCGAGCCCGGAGCCGAGCGGCGGCGGGAGGCGGCCCGGAAGGCGGCGGTGAGCGGGGGTGCGGGGAACGGACGCGGTGGGGCCCGCGGGGGGGCAGCGGCGGGGCCGGCCCGGGCCCGGGCGCTCCCGCTGGGGCCTGGCCGCGGTGAGGCCGCGGGGCCGGGGTGGGAGGGAGCGGGACGGCCCGGGGAGGGCGGCGGGGGTCCGGGGCGAGGCGGTGTCAGCGGGGCCGGGCCCAGCGCTCCGTCCCCAGGGGCGCGGCGAAGCCCGGCCGGGAGCGAGCGGGAGGCGGCTTCGTCCCCGGCCCTGGCCGCGGCGGGGCGGGCGCTGGGCCCTGGGCGGGGCGGTGCGGGGCTCCCCGCTGCGGGCCGCCCGTCCCGTCCCGTCCCATCCCGTCCTGTGCCTGCGGGCGGCGGGCGCAGGCTGGACATCCATCTTGGGCGGCCAGGGCCCGAGGCGAGGCGGGGGGGGGAGGCCCTCGGGGGAAGGGTGCCGGCGAGGCTCGGGAAATAACCGGGATTCTTTCGGGGTTTCGCATCGCAGGTGTGCGCCGTCCCCCGGGATGTAACGGGGCGCGGGAGGCGGCCGTGTCGTCCGCGAAGACCGCTTGGAGGTAAACGGGGAGCGGGGCTGAGGGCTATGGGCGGGCAGAGGGCAGGGGTTTGGGTGGGAGGGATGAGCCAGGCCAAGGGCACAGCTGGGTGTTCAGCGCCTGTCCTGAGCAGCCTCATGAGCCATGCGAGCAGCGCTGCTCTGTCCCCAGCCTCCGAGCCCAGGGACCCGTTGTCTCCCAACCCTTCAGCTCTGACATGGATCTTCCTTCAGTCCCTTTAAAGAGACAAACGGTTCTCTGTGTAGGGGAAACTTTTGTGTTTAGGTACTTGTGAATTAGTGGCTTTGCTTGCGATGTTTGAGCTCCGGTGGTTGGGGGTTGGACTCAACCGAGTCAATCCCAGCTGGAATCGGCTCTTGAGTTTTGCTGTGCTCACAGCTTGGAAAGGGCTGCAAACAGGAAGGGCAACCCTTGAAAACTTTGTTCTCTTTCCTTTCAGTAGCTTAACAAGGGAGATAATACACTTAAAATAGCTGCTTGACTTGAAAACGCCTCTCCGCCGTCAGGGTATTGGATCAGCACTCTGTGATTCCTGTTGCCTTTGTGCTCCTCTGTGAGTAGTAGTAGTGCTCCACGCAAAGGGAGACACAGCTTATCTGCAGAGTTAAATGGAGGAAGCCGGCTGTTGCGTGGAGAGCAGCTGTCTGCCGTGGTGGTGGTGGTTTTGATCCTTCCTTATTCCGACTGCTATGGGAGGTTGCAGACTCCTGCTGGTGCCGACAGGTCCCTCGGGTTCTGAACGGGTTTTAACGTGGGGATATGGGAGACTTGGAGGCAGATGGAGGAACAAAGCAGCGGAAGGTCTGTGCCTTTAATGAGAAGTTATCTGAAATGAGGCGACTTAAAGGGAAGTTTTAGATGGGAGCCTCTGTGCCGTCTGTGGCTTCTCATAACTGATGGAGGCGGCGCAGTTCACCATGTCCCAAGGATGAACTGCTGGCCGATTAAACTGACATCATTATCATGTTGCCATAGTGACTTCATTGCTCCGGGAATGCCATGTTCACATCCTGTTGCTATGGAAAAGACCAGTGTGATAAATAAAAACATTTAATGTTCTGTTCGTCATTATGGCAGCAAAAAACACCATTGATTTATTGATGCGATTGCCTGAAGGGTGGCAAACAAACTCCAAGAGAAGTTCTTAGTGCTGAGTTAGACAGTGGGAGGTTGTAGTTCTCGGCACGTTGTCCCTTCGTTCTCTCTGTTGTGGCAGGCAGCAGAAGTTGTGAAATCCCAGTTTTGGGAATGAGGATGCGAATACGCACGTGGTACAAGGTGGAGTCGACAGGAAGTGCTGTGCTCGCATACACGGCTTCTAAAAATAATCTGGTTTTGTGCACAGTGTTCTCTATGCGCCAGGAGAGGAGAGCTTGGCTTGCGTCAGGCTAAGATCACCCATGGAAAACTCAGTTATACTTCTTAAAAGCAGGTACTTCTATGGCCTTTGTAGGTGTAGGGTTGTGTGTCCCGAAGGGTGTCGGTGATGAAGGGACCACGTGTGGTGGGAAGGAAACCTTGATGACATTTAGAAGGCCCAGCTGGTGCTGGCAGGGCTGTAACTGAGGAGTGGAAGGGAGCTGAGCGGTGGCTGTCATCACGTGTCCTGGCTCTGCTGCGGCCGTTTTTAGGGTAAGTAGCTTTGCTGCAGATTCTGAGAGGACTCCGTGCCAAACGGACTCAATGACTAGTGTGGTGTCATTCCAGCGACACGGTAATGCTTTTCTTTGCAGGCTGGTGCTTACACGGTTGATCAGAACGGTTTATATTTGAAGCCAGAAGCTGCACATGCAGGCTGTTTGTGATGTGTTTCATGCCTGTTCATCCAGTCTGAGGGCTGTTCTTAAACTGAAATGGAACTGGGTAGCAGGAGCGTAGCATGAGGACATACTCTGACCTAGAAGTCTTAATTGTGTACTGAATCATAGTCTTGGGCATAAACAACTCTAAATGGTTGTTTGTACTATATATTGCACGGGTTTTTCTTCTACCACGTGGATGCACAGTGCCCTCGGTGGCACTTTGAACTTGTGCTTAGTATTTAGAGAGCACATTGCTTCTGTGCAACTTTACAGAGACTTATACAAAGTCATCTTAAAGAGGAATCCTGATGTTCTGAGGACAGGAACGTATTACCTGTTCATACTAGAGAAAAGGAAGTGAATCTTCTGCATACACAGAAAGTTCGAGTCTTAACTCTTTATATTTGAACTGGTTTTTACTTGTAGCTGTTTGAAGTGGAGAATTCCCCTTGGTTTGGTGTTACTTTCAACCCTGCAGAAGTGAGTTCAGCAGAGCTCTGCGGGGTTCAGGCAGCTCGGTCTGCCTCTGGATTCTCATCAAAACCTATTTATAGGATAATATGGGAGACTTCCTATTTTATCGCTTTCTGATGAGCCAGGTTAATGTTAAACATCAAGCACTTCTGATAGCTTTGTGTGTTTAACTCTGCAGAGCAGACTGAAGAGAGACTGACTTTTAAAGCTCGTTCTGGTGTGTTTGAATTTGGTTTCAGCCTTGATTTGAGGTGGGTGGTTGTTGGGTTTTCTTAAGAGGGGATGGTGGTTGGAGTACAGCCTGAATTCACTTTATGCTGAGCTCTGAGCTAGTGATTGATTTGCTTTTACTCTTTCTTATTTAAGGAGCAATAGGAAATGAAAAAGAATGTTAATGAAAGCATCTTCTTGGAGGAGTGCTCATAAATCCAGGGTCAAATTTTCGCTTGGGCATTTGTGCTCACACTTTGCAGTAGTTTCTGGTGCTGGAAACGTGACACCTAATGGCAGAGATAAGTAAGGGTGTTAGGAAGTCTGAAAGAGAAGTTCATCCTGCTGAGCTGTCTCGTTCCATCCAGTCTGCCTCGTTGAGATGGTCGAACTTGTGTTCTATTTGCTGCAGTGTGGTAGCAGCCAGGATTTGAGATTATTCGGGTTCTTAGGCTGCTCTCTGGGTATAAATGAATGCCCTAAAAAGTCCACCTCTCAAACAGGCTTCTCCTTGGATTACATCCTAGTATCATAAGGACAGGAGTATCATAAAGGAGAACCTAGTTTTAATACATAAAGCCCAGGCTGGAACGAGACTACAGCTGTATTAGCTTATGGCTGCTGTTCTGGAGACTGAAAATATGCTTCCTGCTATGAGGGTTGCAAATATAATCAAGTTCAGTATCGTTCAGTTAATGAAAATGTTTAAATAAAGCCTAAAGGTTTGAAGGTGAATCTATTTCAATTGTATATCTGCAAGTAGGTTGCATTGGTCAGTCTAAGAGAGGCACGATATTTATGGGTAAAACACTTCCCAGAATGGTTAACTTTATATTCTTTTTCAGGCAGTGCACTTAGAAATAGTAGTGGGTTATTCATCCTCTGTGCTTGCATTAGAGCTCTTGGGCTCTTGAACTCCTTTGCATTCCCATTGTTGAGCATTCAGGAATACTTGGAAGCAAGAACCAAGTAGGAGTCAAACTGATCCAGTTTAGTGTCTCCAGCACCAATATTAGAACGAAAACAGAGGTGTTGGTTAAATGAAGAACTGTTGAAATAATACACTAGAAGATAAAGGATTAAAACAAGTGTGAAGAAGATACACTTTCATTACTGGCTTCTCAATAAGAAAGATGTAAAAAAGTTACCTAATGTAAGGTATCAGAGAGTACACTTTCTATATGAATGTGTTGAAATAGAAATGACCTTGGAATTGCCTGCATGTGCACTTGCAAATTGCATGTTGATAAAATAGCATCTAATGTCATATGACATTAATTCTGTATTTCAGTGTTGATTTTAGCTTTCTTCCCTAAAAGTCCTAAAGCCCCTAGGAAAGTTACTGTAGGAATGATATCTTATTTAAATATTCTTTGATAGTCCAAACCCAGTGTAGTTGAGATTTGCATTTGAGAGAGGCCTAAGTGTTCTGAGTGACCTGGCATGAGGTTGGCATGCCATAGTCTTAGCTTCATGACTGGTTCTGCTCCATAGCATCCTCCACTCTGTTGTTTTACTGCTTGTATTTGTGTCCCTGCCTCTGGGCTTTCAGGGAGGACCCCACTGCCAGAGCATGGACCTGCCCCTGTAAGGGGTATCTTCCATGTGTAAAGAAACCCAAGGTTTTTCAGACTATAGCTGGTATAAAGTGGATGTTTCATGCCTGTTAAGATTGGTTTACTTTGTAGTGTTAGAAGCAAACAGAATTGAGAATGCTTGACAGAAGCTGGATGAGCAAGGTAGGTTCTGAAACCTCATGGTGTGAGTTTGGTTATATCTCAACATCCATAGGCATGTCACCAAGTGACTGACCCTGCCTGCCTCTTCGAGCCTGCCATGGCAGGGGAAGGGCAGTGCTGCATGCTGAAGGATGAGAGGCCATGGTGACAAGTGGCAGCAAGGGAAATACCAGCTAAAGCATGGACAGGCGGTTCCTGTGGGAGTGGTTAAGCACTGGAGCAGGCTGCCCAGGATCTTTTGGCATCTCTGCCATTGCACAAATGCAGAACTTGACTGGGCAAGGTCTTGAGTGGCCTGATCTGACTTTGAGGGTAGCCCTGTTAGGAGCTGGGGTTTGTAGCAGAGACGTTTGGGGACACATTGCAACCTGAATGACCCTCTGTTTCAGTGAGTTTACATGGCATGGTTGTGTTACGTGGTAGGGTGGGCAAGATGCAGCGAGTGGCCAGAGCTTCAGGCTGTGGTTTCATGGTCATTAAGCACAGTCACACACCCCAGTGTCTCCCTTGCTGATACTTGCCCTCTCAGATGTTGAGATAGCTCAGGGAGAAGAAGGAACTGCAGTTCCTACATCTGACTTAGGGCAGTGTCCTTATGTCTGTCTTGTGCTTGGACTGTAGCAGAGGTAACGTGGCCGTCTGCTTTGCCTGCTGCATCTGGACAGAACATGACCTGCGGCTTCTTCTGGGTGGTGGATAAGTAGGTGAATATTTGCTCGCTGTCTTCAGTGGTAACGGGTTATTTGTGAAGAGCAGCCTGCATTTATCACTCTGC